ATGGTTGAAAATTGGCGATGAGTAGATGGTGTAAAAGTTCGAAATGTCCATCGCGCCTTGTGCATGTAATACGACCGTCTCTGCTGGTATTCTTGTAGCGGCAGAAGCTAATGTAGCAGCAGGGCGCTCTACCTCTGAACCTAAGCGCTTTTCGTGCCCGCAGAACGCAGGCGACGCATACGATCCCCCCCCAGTCCTCTGGATAACGCAGGCGACGCATACGACCCCCCCTCCAGTCCTCTGGAGGACGCCTGGTCATTGGTCTAACAGCGAAGGCATTCAACACATGAGAGTACCCCCCCCCCTCCCCTCTCCTTGGCCAACAAACAGCATGCGGAGTCGGAGCAGGATGCGACGCAGCATGCGCGCCAAGCTGGGGAGCAAATCGTTCAACGACCTCGACGATAGTGTGCACCTCATTAGTCCCGGGAAGCGGAGTGCGCGGTTCAGCAGCTCCGAGGGCACCACATACGGGCATCGGGCCGTTCGGAGCAGCCTGTCGTTCGGGGGGTTGCTGGGGTCGATGGGGGGAAGCAGCAGCGTGGGCGGTGGACAGGTGAAGACTTGGTTCCGTGCATGCGTGTTGAGTTTAAGTAGCATCGGCCGGCGAGGTGTTTGGCCTCTATTGACACGAGACGTAACTGTGGAAGTACGGGATTCGGTGTGTTCGGCGGGACGGTCGATGGCACGACCCCATGGGTGGTATGTCTCTCATACTTGTATTATTGTGTGCTTTTCCTCTCGATTCTCCGAGAAGAAAGGTAAGAACAGATTGAGGGGGTGGGGGGGGTAGTAGTGCGGGGAGTCCCTCGAAGAAAGGCAAGGAAGCGTTAAATTCAACATGGTTTCGTCGCAAGCAAAGCAACCGGACTACCTAGACATGCATACCTACCTGCCTTTATGACCCCACCCCCCTCCCGTTCCGGCGTCAACACAGCAGTCGCCGCGACAGCAACAGCGACACCGGTCGGCCCTGTCCGGAAGGAGGGCGGTGGCGGTCCAGACGGCTGCGGCCCATGTGACGGCGTCCCCGGGTACCGGGGTCCTCACGTCCGAGTCGTCGTGCTCCACCCCTTCCTTCGCCGCGCCGGCGGAAAAGAGGGGCAGCTCGTCGAGCGGCGGCGGAGCGGCCGCAGGCGAGAAGGACGGCAGGGGCGGCGGTGGTTCTGGAAGGCGGGGCCCGGTTGGAGGGGGGGGGGCTTCTGCCGCTGGCGGGGTGCCGTACGATCGCACCACGACCGTAGGTGAGCAAGGTCAGGAGGTAGGGGGGGGGTAGGAGGCACCATTGTCGCTGCGCGTTTGTGGTCGGGTGTGTCACGCGGATACCGAAGAGGTGGTCTAGGGGAGGGGCCGGGCTTCAGGGTCAAGTAAATAGAAGCGGAGACTAGAAATTTTCCAAAGGCGTTTTGCGTTGCCGCACTCTGCTCTGCTGCAACATCCTAGCTCCAGTGGTCAGGTGGGGAAGGAAGGGAGGAGAAGAGAACGGTGCTGGGTACGAGTACGTACGAAGTCCTGCTTGGCTGCTGATGCTGCTGCTGTAAGTGCAAAGCTCTCTCGCGATGTCGCCTGCGTCACCGCACGAACGCACACAACGACTACGGCAAGGTTGTGGACGGGGTGCTTGGCGAGTAGTGAGTGGCGGGTGACGAGGGCATGGTGCATGGGGCGGGCGCTCATCACGTGGGCTGTAAGCTGCCATCTACTCGTGGAGGTGTATGTTGGCAATCAGTGGTGTTGGGGGTGGTGGTGAGCTGGGGATAGCTACACTGCGGGTACTCGTCGTTCACGTTCCTCCCCCCTTCGTATTGATGTTTTCGTTTTTTTTTTTTTTTCATGCTGACCGACCACCAGACTTTTTTTTCTTTTTTTTCTGTGTGTCGCCATCCTCGTCGTGCCTACACCTACCCACACGCCACTCGCGAAAACGCCCGTCCCCTTACACGATAACACGCGGCGTGCACGCATACACACAGGCTACAGCCGCCTCCTGGCGCGGTTCACCAAGGGTCCAAGTCCGAGGGGGGGCCGACAGAAGCCACCACGCCCCCCGCCAGACCGCTTCGCGGTGTCGGCGGCGGCGAGCCGAGAGCTCGGCAGCGGCACCACCATTACCACCGCGAGCAACCTGGGCGGTAGCAGCAGGAAAAACTTCCTGAGCGGGAGCAGCGTCAGCGCCGCGAGCGGCGGCGGCGGCGGTGGCGTCAGCGGCAGCGGTGGCAGCGGCGCGAGCAGCAGCACCAGTGGCAACATCTCCGTGAGCCTGACCAACAAGCGGCGGGTCTTCACCTTCGCGAACAACAGCAGCAACAACAAGAACAAGGCGTCCACCACCAGTACCACCTCCTACGCGCACGCGGGGTCTCAGTCCGCGCCTCCGCCGTCGTCGGCGCCATTTCCGGGCGCCGGCGCCGGCGAGCGCTCGGCACCCGTCAGCGTTACGGCCCCGTCCTCGGCCTACCCCTCACCCCCGGGAGGGGCGAAACAGCAGCCCCCCCCCGTGCCTCTAGCAGCGCCTGCCGCGGCTTCTCTAGCCACCTCCGAAGTGGCGGTGCGCCAGTCCTCCTCCTTCTCACCGGCGACGACGAGAGCGGGACCCGGTGCCGGCGATACCGCCGGCGGCTTTGTCGACGGCGGCTCCGGGCCCATCGGAGCGGCGGCGGCAGCGGCAGCGGCGGCAGCGGTATCTACCACGCGAAAGCCGTCCCGGTTCGTCCTCGCGTCCATGTCTGGCTTGCCCGCGATGAACCCCGCCCGCGGCGGGGGAGGGGGAGGGTGGGGCGTGATGCTCCCGTCGCGGACCCCCCAGATCGGGCCGCCGGGGCGCGCGGGGGCGGGGGGCGCGTCGTCGAGCGGCGACGGTCAGGCTGTTGCTGCTGCTGCTGCTGCCTCCGGGGGACCCGATGGCGGCGAGGGCGGTGGCTTCGGCCTACCAGGGCGCGAGGGCGGGTACGTTCCGAGGAACGCCGCGGCGGCCGGG